GGATTCCACCATCTCACTGAAAGTCTGGAACCTTATTACAAGGATCTCTGGACGTTTGCCTGACAAAACACTGCTACAACTCTACAGTGCCATTTTTATTATTAGCTGAAGTATTGTTTTCCAATTTCATTATATTAGCATTCATGTAACATTTTTAGATTAATTTCTGAAAATAAGCCATGTAGTTCTACTCTGACATTTTTGTGTATCAAGTTAATAAAGAGTACTTGAATGCAGTTCCTCCTACGAAATCATGTACTACAGTATCAAGTTTCTATTTCTGTATTTTGCCATTTCATAAAAGCACTAGTAATGCAAAAGTAATGTCAAAACTTTGTTTTTGTCTGTTTTTTTAAAATTGAATGAGCCTGGACTGATTTTTTGTTACAAAAGTCTCAGAAAAGAAAAATCACCCACAGCTTAAATGTTAGTGTGAACTCTTCAAAGTACTTAACGTGAAGTAAAACTAAAGGCTAAATATCAGCATCAGCGTCATTATCAGACCATTGGAAAACTATGGGTTACCTATATGTTTTAAGATTTAATTTTTATTTTCTTCATATGAAGACAACAAACAACAGGCCTGCTTAAGTAATTCAAACCTTCTAAGGGAATTATGCAGGTTTGAAGGATCTGCTTAAAACCCTTTATGAGTGCTTTTGTCTTTGATTTTCCTGATATAAACAGTTTCTACTGGTTTATCCCATTGGGAGCTACTCCTTTCTATCTCTTAATGGGTTTTTCATTGCCTCAGGGGTATTATAGTGAGGGACTTACATGAAAGCCCATGATGTCAAATAAATCAGTCTAACATCTTTTAATTGGGCATTAGAGGTCACTTAACAATTCCTGTAAAAATCATCATCACTATGTATGAAGTATCTAGCTTATCAATACTGTTGTGTCATTGATATCCATATATATTAAATCTGGTTATTTCAATTTTTCCATCATAGCAGCAATGTTGGAACTATCCAAACAGTGGTTGGCAGCACCTTCACAACTGAGGGTTATCTGATCTGATCAGCATCCCCAAATTGAGTTTAGACATCAGATGTTTTACAACTGACAGAGACTAGAATGTTCTGATTCTTAACAGCCGTGTGACCGAAAAAACACTACTTAAAAGGTAGACGGCAAAGGAGAAAAAAAGTAAATGAAGAAAATGAGCAAAATGGTCTGATATTGGATAAAGTGAGTTCCGGTGCTAAAATTGAAACATTCTTTGCCACATGGATTACCATTGGCAAACCAAAACATATCAGGTATTGAAATTCAGAGGGACTCAACTTACAGTACATTCATGGAAGTAAGTCTGAGTTTGTATTGGAATACATTCTTGTAAATAGATCAAAGGTGGTGTCATTTTATATCATTGTAGAGTCTGATCTTAACTACTGAGGATTTTTTACATTATGAACATGATTTTTCAGAGATAATGGGGAAAAAAGGGTGTCACGGTGGTGCTATTTGTGTGAAGATAGTATGTGCTCCTGGTGTTCGCATGGGTTTCCTCTGGGTGCTCCAGTTTCCCATCACATACTGATAGGTTAATTGGCTTTTGGCAAAATTGGCCCTAGTGTGTTTGTGTGAGTTTCTGTTTATGCCTGTGTCTGTCCTGTGAGGGACTGGCATCCTGTCCAGGGTGTGTCCTGCCTTGCGCCCACTGGTCGCTGGAATGGGTTCTGAATCCCCCACAACCCTGTATTGGATAAAGCAGTCAGAAAAGGGATTGATAACGGGGAAAAAATTAGCCTGTTTCTAAGTGCATTGGGGGTGGTTGATGTTGGTAATTGAGTTTAAACTTTGGATGCAGTGTTTTGGGCTCTGTACTGTACCTCACATAGTAGCCTGTACTTTTTTGTGTGTGTAAATTATAATCAATTCGTGTTTTGTATGTTGGGGTTAATAAATCCTTGCATTTTATACATATATGTCCTATACATTTTTCAACTATCGCAATGTTGAAAAAAAAAGCCACATTATCTCACTTGTTATATTCTTACCTCTGGGGTTTTTTTTTACTTTAAGAAATGCATTTTCCTGAAGCTGGGGTTAGGAATGACTAATATTTCATTGATACTAAATTTCTATAAATTCGACTAACACCTTCTTTAAATGAAGAGGATTAAGATCCAAGGTCAATACTCATTGAAAATGCAATTCAATGAATTCAATGCAATTTTGTTAACTAAAGTCAAAGGTCACCAGTGATTTTAGGGCACAATTGTAAGTAAAAGGGGTCTTGGGAATAAACCTGTAATTAATCCTGGAGCTTATTAAAAAAGACTCTATATAACAATGTCTGTTGCTCAATGAAAACCATGAATAACTAATTTGTATATCAGGAATTAAAGGTCACAGGGTTACTAAAAGCACTACAATTGAGGACGCAAGCTTAACATTTAAATAAATTTACATAAAATTTCGGAACTTCCGAAAGCAGCAAAAATATAAAGTAATTATTAAAAGCTGGTGAGGGGTAGGTGTCTTTACTGTTGGTCATCCTTTCCTTTGCTCACCAGTAAAATACATTTTTAGTTATATATATTTTTTAAATATACTTTGAAATATTTCATAAATAAACACTTAAAAACCTATCTGTAGATACCTGCAAGCAAGACATGAAAGTATGTGATGCTGAGTACTTTCAAGACAGAATGTCATTGGCTGACATGACACCTTCCTATAATGATAAGTGTACTGGATTTCGTTGTGTAGATTTAATAATTGAATCATGATGCTTAATAACACATGCAAAGCAACACATGGAATGAAGAACAGATGAAGGCGCAACAAGCAGATCTGTTTATACTGATTATTAATAAATCAAAATGCCAAGGAATAAATACCAGAAATTGTAATCCTGCTGAGAGTGCTTAGCCTTAAGTGAAGAAAAAGATTCATCTGAAGATTTGATAATCTGGTGACTTAAGTAAATAGGGTGACAACCAGGAAATTTTATGAATTATTCAAACCGAACATATAATTCCTTATGAATGTCTTGTATTTTTGGTATTTGTGATACATATATTTTAGACTCACAATATGGCAAGTGGAAGCGATAAAGTTTCAATCAACTCCCACAGAGTTAAAAGGAGGATATGAATGAGACAGAAAAAATGCCAACAGCATCTCTGCATTGGAAAGCTTTGGACTTTTGCAAAACAGCAGAAGACTGCTTAAGAATTTCACATGAAAGACAGAACATGGTTTCTGGGAATTATTTCTTGAGATATTACCATACAGCCTGCTTCCAAAACTTAATCACAGTTTTGTTTCTGACATGCAAAAGCTACAAGCTAGACATTGCTCAATGATTTGCATTTTCCCATTTAACAACAAAAAACAGAAAATCCTTTTAAATTAATACATTTATGTTAAAAAGTGGCGTTAATATGTATTACACCATACGTACTTATACTTTGTTGGTGTTATGCACTGGAACAAGTTGTACCTAATAAAAAAGTTTTCCCAAAAACAGACTTTAGGAGTACCTCATAAATTTGTATACTTTTTTGTAGTCTAATTCTATCAAGGGTAATAATTAATTGTTATTTACTAAGAAAAAATAATATGTTAAGATATACTTTATTGCACTTTTAATATCAAGTACAATAACACTAAAATAAAATAACTTAGTATAATTGGTTTTTTTTTAGTATTATTGTTATAATGTTATGAAAACGGACAACAGTACAATCGGATTTTTCTAACGCAATGCTCTTCAGGCAGTTTTATGTAAATTTAAAGGCACAAACCATGGAATTATCTCATATGTCTTTCACTCAATTTATTTTAATTAACAATAAACAAGTAGCATATTCGCTACCGATACAAAACTACAACTGCCTCTAAATGCGTCACTTGTTCCCCTATACAGTGTGCTGAGGTACTGTACACCTGTGCGCGGCAGAAGGTTACGAAGCGTATCCACTCTCCACCTCGACTGTATATATAATGTATCGTTACATTAGAGAAGTCCTATGGATACAATATCAACTAACACAAGAGCACAACAAAAAATGAAATACTCCATCATACATTTTAAACGCGACCGATTCATCACATAATCAACGCTGTTTTGAGATATCCAGGCATAAACTAGCAGCACTTTTAAATAATTATTAAACTTCTGCTGGTAATGAATAACGCTGAAAACAGGAAAAACACAGTCATGGGATGAAGTAAGAATACATTAGTGAAGACTCTGTTGAATCACAAATAACTTTAAAGAAATTATTAGACCCCGTAGCCAAAAACATTTAAAGTCAACTCACAGATAAATAGTTTGATACGCCAGATACAGTGTTTTATTTTACTTTTTTATCAAACACTGTTACCTTGGACAATGCACATGCATACACATCAATATATTTTCTTAAAAAATGATTGTATATTACGTAATGTATATAGAATAACTATACCATCTTGTACGTTTCTTCCAGTATTGCTATCCTTTCATTTACCAATCCTTGCGTAGCTGCGGGTATGAAAACGGGTGGTCTTTGGTATTCACAGAAACAAATAAAACTGCAATTAGTAATCCCATGGTTCGCAAAGACAAAAGCAATTGTAGAAATGTCAATGTCTGACCCTTTCCATGAAGAAGGCTTTGCTTTGTTAATAGCCTGCCCCCGTTTATGTTAAAGCACCTGGTGCTTGAATCCACCTTACAAATGTAAAATTCGCTCCTTATTTCGAGGGCAAAATGCACTTATCACTACACAAAAATGTTCAGTCATATCTCACATTAAGCGACGCCCATTAAATAGCGTTCCCCTAGACACCAGTAAGTACGATTATTAATATCCAGTGTCAAAGCAATTAACTTAAAACTGCATTAATTCCAACTGCCAAAGAACTGATACGCGTAAAATAATAACTATATGAATATATCATACTAGTATATTTTCTCCGGAATAGTAAAATACAGGTATGAGTAACAGAAACAGACAGATTACTGAACAATCTTTATTTCGGAAATTGAGAAGGCTTACCACATCTCAGAAGCCGCTGATGAGCCTGCAGCAATAAGCTCCTTCAAGTCGTGCCATTGAAAACACCAAGAACGGAATTGCTCATATATTGTCTTTTCCCTTAGAATATCGTCCTTGCGCGCAAAGCACTCTACTACAGATAGGTACACCCGTCTACATATAGATATACCTTCATCCCAGTAATTCACTTTGAAACCACTTGTATTTTCCAGAATGATGCGATGTTAATTTGCAGCAAATGTCTAGTATCCGTTCATTAAGAATGAAGATATCAGGGAAAAAAATAAAAACCTCCTTATTTTGTATCCAGATCACTCCCCCACCTTCACACAAACCGCGTCCTCTTCCACTGCATTAGGTCTTTTTTTTTCGCAGAAGGGGAAAGCAACGACTGACCCAGTAAGGTATCCAGGGTTTTTGCCCGTGTTTACAAGCCCGCAGTAAAGGACTCCAGAAAATGTTTGCTTGCAAACAGAGCTCTCTGAGAAAATGACAAACCAATTTCGAAGCTGTGTTCTGCGAGATACAGTCCGAGAAAGAGAAGGGAAAGAACGGTGAAAATAAAACCCGGAACTGGATCGGCTCTCACTACACGGACTCGGGCTCCATCTAGCAGCAAATGTAGGGTAAAATACTGCACAACCAGCATTACCTTACCTGCATTAATTCAAATCTTTATTGCTTTTGTCTTTGTCATTTATGTGTATTCTTATTTTATAATGCTGCGAAAATATTACAAACCAACCAGTTCGTCTGTAAGTCAAGAAATATATATTTTTTGTTTTTGTTTTGTACATTAATAAGACCAGTTGTTATACATATTAAATACGGTGTATATACTGTACAGTATATTCAAGACATATACAGTGCATATATTATTCACTGAAAAACGTAAGCGAGGCAAATTGTGTTCATATTTAATTTTGCAGCTCTAACTAGCTGATACAGCAACTCCCAGATTTATTCACATCCTTCATAAAATCTAAACATTATTTAGATTGTAAAAAAAAATAAATTTAAGTGTCCATCAAGACGTTTCAAAATATATAAAATTACAAAATACCAGTATCATACACAGTAGTGTGTTCTGTATATCAATAGCAAAACTGTAGGAAAAATAAAAAGTAACAAAACATATTATAACATATGGCTTTCTAAAAACTTTGTGTTTAAATTTATTTTCAAAGCTTTACTGTATGTAAAAAATGCTTTTAAATTTTATCTGTCTTGGTTTTCTGGTAATCTGGATGCTTGAAAAAAATATTTCGCTTCTTGAATTCACCTTGATTGGCAAGGGATATGAAAGCAGTCGATACACTTTGTCATCATGGGGAAAGTCAGAGAATTTCAGATAAAGGGTTACTGACCTTCAGAGTTCTGTTGATGACTTTAAAAAATCATACAAGGGTCAAAATCATTTTCAGCCACATCATGTCATCAAGAAATTGGAGGCTATTGGAATGGTTGCAGGCTCACAAGGAAGGGGACACAAGAAAAGTCTGCTCAAATGTGAGCTTGGAAAGAATATGTTCTAAGAGGCTAATTGATACTCTGAGGCAAAGATTGAGAATAGTCAATAAACATTGACATCTTCAGTATACAAAGTTACCAAGACCTTACATTGACCTCATGAGTTTGATGTCCAAAGCAGAATTATAGCTCCCATCATCTGATACACAGCAGAATTCTACTATGACATAATAGTGTGCGAATAAGAGGTGTGAATTTGCTAAATTGCATCTAAATAAGTCCTAGTGTAACATACCTATTGTATATGGTTTGTATGTTCATAATATAATAATCGAATATAATCTGATCATTTTGCACATTCTCATTACGTTCAATGCAAGAAATCTGGTAAAGGAAGGTGAAACACATGTTGTGGAGAACACTATCTCTTCTGTAAGCCTGCAGCTGAATCTGTCTTGCTTTTTTCTTTTCAGTTTTCTGGTCTTGGTGTCAGTGTTACAATTGAGGAATGAGTGGATTCAAAAGTATAGATGGTTAGATTAGCACAAGATCTGATGCCTTCTATCAAGAAGCACAAGTTTATTTTTAATACCAAGCCAATTTTTAAAATTTTTTGTTAAAATGTATTCACACTTTATCATGGGTACAAATTAGCATTTATGGATTTTTTTAAAGTTTTTTTTTTCCTTTCTTAAGCAGACTGCAACAATGCCACAGTTCTGGGAGAGAGAAGGAGCTTGCTTGGGAATTGTGCTGATAGGAACATCGCAACACGAAACCACCAGGGCATTGAAGATCCATCCCATGCCAGCTAAGCGGCATGTAACAATCTAAGTGGGACTAACTGAGGGATCACTTTTTCACAGCATTAACAATAGCTGCTTGGACAAATGTCTGACCCATAAACTCTATTACAGGTGAGTATGATGAAATTCATTCACCGGAGGATGTAATTAACCTCTACTTGTTCTATTCACTTTACAGCTTCACATTGACCACATTTTTAAACTTACATTCTGTTACTTGTTACAGCAATAATTCTGTCAGTGTAAAGTCAACTCAAAGGTCCCTTACCTTATAATCCAATAAAGTTTGACCGCTCAAAACCTTCAACTTCAACCTGGATCAATGTCATTCACTGGCCTACTGTACCTAGCATATATAAAATTATTCCAGGTCCATCTTTATGTGAGTCTATACCATCTTTATGAGTCTATTCCAGTTATAATAATCTACAGACATAACATTCAACTCATACTGTATGGTTGCATGTTACATATTTGCAAATATTTACAAAAAATAAATGATATCTCACCTGAAACAGAAAATAAGGCCAACTTTGTGCCATCTAATGTTGTATTAAAATTGTTTTAAATGAAAGATTGTATTTTTAGTCCACTGCAATTGGTTTCCATTTTGCATGCAACTTTACTTTACTGATGCTCTGTTTTAGGGTCTGACTTTGGTACTACAGTACTTGGCTTGTCTATTTTCTTTTATAGTCTTAAAATATAATTGGAGGTATATATTCTGTATCTCTATATAATCTATATTTGCTCAATATATTTAGGTAAGCAACCAGTGCAATTAACTATCTGGAGTATTTTGTGTGAGTGTAGGTGGGTGTTTTACCTAAAAAAATATTCTTTTTTGTTATAATATTACACATTACATACTGTACTATCACAAAGTTTTCAGATCTGCTCTTTCGGTAAAAAAAAGGCAAATCTACAGTAGGTGTATTACACCAACTACGGTACAAAACAAAATGCTTAATTTTGAGTTAATATTTTTTTTTAATCAAAATATACTTTATTTCCATAACAACATCTCACAAAGGAAACAGTCTCACAAATATGGTAAGCATTCTGACTAGGTATGAACTTCGCATGCAATAAAACCTTTCCAAATGGCGGCGATTGTCCATTATCAATCTGTGCAAGTGGATTTTGAGTTCATATACAGTAACTATGTACTGTAGACCTCATATTGTATCACGTGAAAGAAAGTGGGAAGGCAGCTGTGTCATCGTAAAACCTTAATCAATGGCAGTACAACTCAGGTCGTCACGGGTCGAGGGCCAGCATGTCGTCTCTCTAAATATCGAACTTTAGGAAAGGCTCCAAATTGCCCAATTAAGAAAACAGGTATTCTGCTCATAACAGAAATGTTCTGCCATGTCCAAGCTATACTTCAGCAGAGAATGAGATGCCCCTTCTTTCGTGACTTGTAAATCAATTTTGACATTTTATAAGTGAAGAAAATACTAGTGAAGAAAATATATATATATATCTGTTTTACTAACCATCCAGCCATTTGCTAACCATTTACTCCTGATGAGAGTCACAGTTATTCAACAGTTTTAAATTAAAAACTAAAGATGTCATACTGAGAGATTCTGTGTAAATGATTGGCTCTCCTAGTTCTCCAGATGGACATGAGCAAATTGATTATTGAAAGCGAAATCTACAGAGGCAGTGAAAGACCTCAGCAACAAAGGTTTTATTTAACAACTAAAAAGCAGACTTCTTAGAAAAAGAATGTTTACAATTAAATATTAATAAAGGTTTTGCTAAGGATTTTGTTTCCTTTAACTGTAGTACTGTACAGAACGTAAATAAAATTGGACAAAATCAAGTCAAGAAAAGAATTAAAGAATCTTGAATACTCTGTGAAAATAAAACTATTGACACATATTTCTATGATGGACAGGCACAGAGGTTTTAGATACTGTGCAAACTGTGGCTAACACTATAAAGTACATAAAGCCACATTTCAAATTTTAAAAAAGACCTGTTCTGCTCTATGACAGTACTTTAGAAAAAAATGGCACCAAATCTAATTGTGGAAATTTCAGTTTAATATCTAGTACATTTTAGATATAAGGGTCAATTTTAAGAAATCTGAGGGCAACATTAAACTACTGAGTATGTAATCAAATATGAAAAACAATGGAAAAACAATTCAGATGTATGAAGAAATAAATAAGGTAGTCAAAGAACTTAGATTTATATGTATAGTTTCTTAAGCACATACTACATACATTCAATTTTTATAACAGATCAAAGCATAAAACAAAATACAACGGCAAAATAATGGACACTCTCAAGAAGGAAACAGAAAAGGCAGGCAAGTTGGGCAAATCTTCCCTGATGAAAAGATGAAAGCATCTGTTCACACTGCCACAGTCTTGGCACTAGTAATCTCAACATGACTCTTTCCATAAAAGCATTTTTTTTCTTGACTACCTGTCTATCAACACATTTTGTTTAAACAAGGACTTAATTAAACATGAGAGAAATTAGACTGCTTTAAAAATTGCATATTTAAACTCCATAATGTGTAACAGGGAAGCTACCTCTTGGAGTTGTTCATGTCAATTTATTCCACGACAGGGAGGTTTAGAGATAATGGAGAAACGGAATTAAATGCAAGCATTCATATGAGGATAAAAGTGGAATCTAATGCAGTTGATTTTCCTTATGTTTCTCTATAAATAAGTAGAGAACATAGGAGAAGGTTTCTAGTCTTGCAGTGAGATCGCGATGAGATCAGTTATTTTGGTTAGGTTACTTTTACAGCTCAATCAATCTCATCTCAATCTGTGATCCATCTCAGTGCTAACCTGGCAACTCACAGTTAGTCAAAATTTGTACAGTATTCCAAAATATCATTTTCTATTGGTAAGGGAAATAGGCTTACTGAGAGCATTAAAAATCACCAGCTCATTGGAATCAGTGCTTCATTGGGAAAGGAGATACTATAGGAATTATCTCGTTGATAGAGCCAGTTCAGCCACCAGTTCAGACTGAAGGAACTCCACTAAGGCATAGTCAAAGAAGGACCAGAGAAGGCTAGTAGGATACTGAAGAAAATCCACACTCTCAGTTAGGTTCGTTTGTGAGAAAGGGAGTTTATTATGTATGCATACAGGAACTGATCAGCCACCGGAGCCGTAGTCAATTCAAAATACAAGGTGGGACTTCCCATTTATATAGTCAAGCAGTTACACAAAAACCAAGCACAGAGGAGGAAGTGTTTCCTGAGGAATAATACCAATCCAACGGAGTAGT